TGCGTCGGGAAGTAACGGATGCAGTTCGTCAGGTTGCCGTCCCAGAAGCGCTTGAAGCCCTGCTCCTTCATGATGCGCTGGGCGCAGTCGACCATGCCGGTGTAGCGGGGCACCTCGCCACTGCGGATCTTCGGGTTGGCGTCCTGGGTCTGCACCACCAGCTTCACGCGCTCAATAGGGGCCGTCAGCGTCTTGGACACCGCGCCCGACACGCCGCCGAGCATGAAGTCCATGACGAAGGCCGTCATCTCGTTCCTTTCCGGCTTGGCGGCCATGGTAGCGAAGCACGATGAGGCCGCAACGTGGCAACTTGCGTCGAGGAGGGCGTGGCACTTGAACCAAAAGTGCCGAAAGCCCGGTGCCTGCTTCGAATTGCTCAGAGACGCCGAGAGTCCAAGGCCGAGACAAGGCAGGCAGGCAGATGGGCGGCAGACGACCACAAGTCGCCGGCTTTGCCAGATCTTGTTGCGTCGAGATGCTAGACCTATCTAGACCTGCTACATCTGCACCTGCTTTTGCACCTCGTGAATTCCCAACCTCTACCTATCTTCGACTGCACGAATCCCTTTTCTCACGTCGCGTCTCCAAAGCAACAACAGCTTCGGATCGTTCTGTCTCTGGGGGGGCTTCGTCCAATAAAGGAGCTTAGAAGCAGGGACTTGGGGAACACAGAGTTTGGGTTCGGATCTCCGAGTTCAAGCGAAGCCACACATCGCACGTCCATGCCTTGAAGGAGTTTTCTCGTCAAGGCTCTTAAAATCAATACCATGTCAGACAGAGTCGAACATGGTCACACAGTACACGGGAGATTTCGCCAACCGCAACTCATTCCCAAGAGCGAGGTACGGCTTGCGAAGTTGGGTCCCCACAGCAGTCTGATGTGAACATGAACTGCCGTGTACTAGCAGCTGCCTTGTACTTCTTTTACTTGCCAGAGTTGCGCGCGGCGGGATGTTGCGTCCAAGGGTGCGTATCGAAGCAAAGGGTGGGGGTGCAATCTACCGTCAACGCAATTTGCATGCTCACGCCCAACATCACCCAACCAGTCCTTACAAGTGGTGTGGACCCAACACATTCATCGTCAGTCAAACACACTTCGGACAAACAAACTCTTTGGAGGGCGAAGCAAGAAACCGCACCTGAACCCTGCCCATTTAACAACAAGCACAACGCTAGTACAACGCTTTAAGCTTTAAGTTCGGTATGGGAACCCACGGTCTCCCGAAGATGGTCGCGCTGCGGGCTACGTCAGTAGTGCGGCTGTGCACAGCTGTTGGAAGTGCCTCATCTCTGCCTGCCGGGCAGATGGCTTCAGGCTGAGGGGGTCGAAAGACTTTGTAACACACTGGGAGAGAAGAAGCAGGTTTAACAATATCGAAGGGACTTCTACTGCAGCAAGACACCGACTGAGTCGTAGCATCGCTCTGTAACCCATCTGAATCTGTCCATTCCCCTTGCCTCACACTTAGAGCCCCAGGTACATCTTTGCGCGGTCGTAAAGCACCTGGGACAAGTGGGATAAGCCCAGGCTTGCCACCCATCTTTCAATTCCATGACAAGCGGTGGCATGGTAGCCAACAAATGCTGGCAACTATACCCGGGTTAGTATAGCAATGTATATACGAGTAGCACACTACGAAATACTACGAAGATGCCCCCAATTTTATGCACTGGGCCGGTCCGGGGCTCCGGGCCAGCACCAGTGCGCCGCCCACGCTGCGCACGACGTTGGCCAGGAATCCCTTGTAGAGGCCAGCGACCAGGCCTTAGGGGGGGACCGTGAAGGAAGGCCGGGGGGGGGCATAAGGGGGGGAAGGCGCGGGGGGAAGGCGCGCAGGGGAGGGGGTGTGCTGGTGCGTGATGATGAGAATCTGCCCAGGAATGCGCGTGCACAGGGCAGCACTCGAAAGCTGGGGTCGCGGCCCTCCTCGGCGGCGATCTTCTTGAAGCAGTCCGCGGTTCCCTTGTAGATGTGCTCCTCGGGAGGCTTCTCGGACTGCATCTGCAGGCGTCTTCGCACGGTGTCGAAAGGGTAGGTGGCACCTGCACCGATGGTAATGGCCGTCTGAGCAGCGGCGAAAGTGGTGACGGCTCCAAGAACTCCCTTGTCCTTCTTGTATGGGTTCAGGCCGGTGATCGTGTCGAAGGTGCCCAGCTGCAGGCCACGGTAGCCGATGATGCCGCACACGGACACGCCGAAGCCGGTGTACAGCGCAAAGAAGCCACCAGGGCCCTGCGTAGTCTTGATGATGCAGTCGCCCAGTCCGCTGAAGGTCTTCTTGCCGGACCCCACGTCCGATGCCAAGCGCGTTCGGGCGTAGTCCAGCGGGTACACGATGGTCATGCTGGCGGCGGCGGCCAAACCACCCGACACAAGGTTGGCGCCGAAGAACTGCCAAAACTCAGTCTTGGGGTTGTACTTCGGGAACATCTTCTTGAATGTGTCCTTGAAGGCCAAGTTGAAGGCCTGCGTCGGGAAGTAACGGATGCAGTTCGTCAGGTTGCCGTCCCAGAAGCGCTTGAAGCCCTGCTCCTTCATGATGCGCTGGGCGCAGTCGACCATGCCGGTGTAGCGGGGCACCTCGCCACTGCGGATCTTCGGGTTGGCGTCCTGGGTCTGCACCACCAGCTTCACGCGCTCAATAGGGGCCGTCAGCGTCTTGGACACCGCGCCCGACACGCCGCCGAGCATGAAGTCCATGACGAAGGCCGTCATCTCGCTCCTTTCCGGCTTGGCCATGTCGTCGGAAAAGAATCACAGTCGCAGGGATTTACAAAACTGAACACTCGTGGCGACTCGGGCCAAATCTGGGGGGTGGCATGCAAGGGTAGAAGCTTTCGTCGGAGCAGGACGAAGCAGCTGATTGCGCAACTGCGCAGGTGAGGAATTCATTCAAAAAACAGGCTGCGCTGCCATCTTCATACCTGAGATTTAGAAAGTTCTGCCCTTGGGTCAGTTTCTTCTGTTCAAGCTCGGGTCCGACGTAGCCCAACGACAGCATCGCGAAAGTGGAAAAGATGCGTCGCTGAAGCCATGCCCGTCATGTCGCGGTTCGCTCTTGCGGGTTTGGGTGAATCTAAAGCAGGTGCGAGACACAAACTCGTCAGAACAAAAATCACACTCTGATCATCAGCCTTCGCTACTCACTGTACTCTGCCAAGACAACCATTGGACCCATTGGACGTCCGCACCCTGCAAGCAGTAAAACCTTCGAAACAGGAGGCACTGAGCAGCCTCCAGAGTAGCTGCATCACATGTCGGTCAGAGCTTTGCAAAGCTGGCTCTGCTTGCTCCTGCGCGTGTGCTGCTCGTTGCATGAGCAACATAAGATGCCCGGCTAATCCCCGCTTCCTAGGTCGGATAGGTTGAGTTAGGGACGTCCCATGCCGTGGTCCTCCTTAAAAGGTCCTCAGAGCCCAAGGTACATCTTGGCGCGGTCATAGAGCACCTGGCCGTGAATCGCGGCAAGGCATTTGAACGCTTCAAAGCTCAAGAATGGCCGGCCGCCTAACAAAAAAAAGTCGATGGCCCTGGGCCCTGGGGCTCCGGGCCAGCACCAGTGCGCCGCCCACGCTGCGCACGACGTTGGCCAGGAATCCCTTGTAGAGGCCAGCGACCAGGCCTTAGGGGGGGACCGTGAAGGAAGGCCGGGGGGGGGCATAAGGGGGGGAAGGCGCGGGGGGAAGGCGCGCAGGGGAGGGGGTGTGCTGGTGCGTGATGATGAGAATCTGCCCAGGAATGCGCGTGCACAGGGCAGCACTCGAAAGCTGGGGTCGCGGCCCTCCTCGGCGGCGATCTTCTTGAAGCAGTCCGCGGTTCCCTTGTAGATGTGCTCCTCGGGAGGCTTCTCGGACTGCATCTGCAGGCGTCTTCGCACGGTGTCGAAAGGGTAGGTGGCACCTGCACCGATGGTAATGGCCGTCTGAGCAGCGGCGAACGTGGTGACGGCTCCAAGAACTCCCTTGTCCTTCTTGTATGGGTTCAGGCCGGTGATCGTGTCGAAGGTGCCCAGCTGCAGGCCACGGTAGCCGATGATGCCGCACACGGACACGCCGAAGCCGGTGTACAGCGCAAAGAAGCCACCAGGGCCCTGCGTAGTCTTGATGATGCAGTCGCCCAGTCCGCTGAAGGTCTTCTTGCCGGACCCCACGTCCGATGCCAAGCGCGTTCGGGCGTAGTCCAGCGGGTACACGATGGTCATGCTGGCGGCGGCGGCCAAACCACCCGACACAAGGTTGGCGCCGAAGAACTGCCAAAACTCAGTCTTGGGGTTGTACTTCGGGAACATCTTCTTGAATGTGTCCTTGAAGGCCAAGTTGAAGGCCTGCGTCGGGAAGTAACGGATGCAGTTCGTCAGGTTGCCGTCCCAGAAGCGCTTGAAGCCCTGCTCCTTCATGATGCGCTGGGCGCAGTCGACCATGCCGGTGTAGCGGGGCACCTCGCCACTGCGGATCTTCGGGTTGGCGTCCTGGGTCTGCACCACCAGCTTCACGCGCTCAATAGGGGCCGTCAGCGTCTTGGACACCGCGCCCGACACGCCGCCGAGCATGAAGTCCATGACGAAGGCCGTCATCTCGCTCCTTTCCGGCTTGGCCATGTCGTCGGAAAAGAATCTAAACACGGCTCAGATAGACAAGTCGAACACTTGGGCCGGACTAGGCCAAAGGTTTGCACACTGCATGTCACGTTGCTTCACGATCCACAAGCCCCTATTGCCTGAAGCATCCTGAAACATGCTTTTTTTCTGGTGAGTGCATGAAACTGGGAGTCAGTCCTGCAACGTGGAAGTGAGACTCGGCATGCAGGTGGAGGTTGGGGCAAATGCGCACTAAACAGTGCAGCTTACGACGGTTCTGTTCTTAGCTTTGTCGGCCTCCACCCACGTTGTCAAGGTGCCCTCCGAAGCCGCGAACTTCCGCGAAGCGCTTCGCGAGGCGCTTCGGGCTGAACCCCTCTGAAGCTCTGGCGCTGAATTGCTGTGCATGTCAATTTGGCCGGCTCATCGCATGGAGACCAGCTGTGAATCGCGGATGCCATTCTGTGCAGGATCGTGGATGCTCGCTTCGACGTTCAAAGAGGATAACATGCTCAGCAGAACTAGTTCCGGGGCGTTTCCGAGTGCAGTATTTGCCAACAAGTTCCTGGAACAGGCTTCCTGCACTCCTCCTCGATCAAATTCCAAAACCTACAGATTCTCACCCTGGTAACGCACGTAGGCATGGGCAGATCAAGGCCTGCTGCTGATGCTGCGGCCAGAGCTCCTGCGCCTTAAGGACGAGCCACTGGGTGTTGTCCTGTGTTTGGCCCAGGGCTCAGAGCTTTACAGGCTTAGCCATGCTCTGGCGACGCCAAGCTTCGCGCAAAAAAAATCACACATGACCAAACCGGGAGCACGATTTCGACCACGGCACATGGTCCGGAGCGCGATTTGCGTCGGGCAAAGCCAAACCGCAAGTGTCACGATGAAAACCACCCCTGAACCGAGAGGCAGTTCGCGTGCAGCTACCCCGTACACTGCCCTACCGAGAGAAAACATCACTCAAACATACGCAAACGCACACCCAGTCCAGCAGCTGCATCCAGGAGTTGCCAAGCTTTGGCAGCTGGCGCAGCAGCGCAACGTACGACCTACTCGGAAAGGCATGATCCTAAACCTTCGGCCCAAACTTGACATTGTGGTAATCAGATGTCATCAGAGAGAAAAGGTGCCTCACATGCGCCACGGCATCCGCGACCCGATGCTGCACGACGGTGTGGACCTGAGGTTCACAGTGTGACATCTTCCTGGTCTAATTACAGCGTCTGCTTGAAAGATTTTCCAGGCTTCTAACTCGGGTTTAGGGTTCGTGGGGTTTCAAGCCACCGTCCATGGCTCGGGGTGTAGAGATTGGGGAGTCAAGCCTGAAGGGCTTTGGGGAGCGTGAGAGTGTTGAAGTGGCCCCTGCGCAGCCAGGCCACGGCCAGATTGTGGTAGCAGATGGCCAACAGAGAGGAGACCGGGGCATCGCTGAGCTTGTTCAGAGCCTCGGGTGTTCCGGGTGTCCATGGATTTGGGGCTGAAAATTGCTGATGGCGCTGTTGCTCAACAGAGGACAAGGGTTCTGCTAGTGCAAGGTGTGTACCCTCGCCTGCTGGGTGTAGTACTCCGCCTCGGACTTGCTGCCCTGGAGGTGTAGCACCGCCGCGGCTCTGAGGCAGCACCTTGGGACATTTTATTCAGCGTGAACGGGCTTCATGGGGTCAGTATGCTTCAACACCCCCCTGGGCTTCCTGTGCGGGAACCTCGCCCAACACCCCACACCCAGGCCTTGCAATTCGCACGCATCGGACTGGAATTAAACTTTCTTGGCAAGTCGCTTGCAGTATCTGTTGACATGGCCCAGCCGAAGATATCTCTCCGACGCCTTGGGGCAATGTGGCTTCGAGGTGAACCCAAATCCTACGTGAACAGCCGCGAAGCCCCATTCTCCTCACCCAGCACTCAACCTCAACAATCTCAACAGCAAGATTGGCCCGGTCCGCCTGCTGGAAGAAGGACTGTGACCGGTCAGCCAAGGTCACGTCGTTTGGCATGTAGTAGCAGACACTCAGAGCCGTGTCCTTGGAACTGCAAGGGCTTCTCTGTGGCGTGCCGAGAAGATGCAGCCACTTCGTGTCGCCACGCTGGACGCCAACCAATCCGACCGCCCCCTCTGCAGCTTAGGGTGGCGAGGTTGGGACATAGGTCTCAGGATGTCTCAGGCGCAGGCGAAAAGATAGGCCTGAGAGCAAGTTTCGCTCGGGCGGCGCGTGTCGGTCAAATTAAGCATGGACATGGACAAAGTTAGTTCTTCTGATTCTGTGCCTGGCAAAAAACATGCATGAGAATGAGGAGGTTGATGTAGATTGATGGGGGACCACCATGCGTTAACTCTGCAAACCGAGCCGTAGCGACTACGGTTACTTGGGCTCGAGTCTACGTAACACCTGAAGCAGATACACGACTGGGCGTCCCAAGCAGTTGCCCCTGTTGCTCAGATTGAGCACTGCCTCGCCTACCCCCTTGCCTTCTGAGCGACCCAAGCCCCTATGCTGGTACATTACTAGGAAGGAACATGAACAGACAGCGCCGCAACTTCGTCGGACCTTCAACTGAAAGGCCCCGGCCTCCCCCTTCAACCTCCTTCTCCAAGAGACGTCATAAAAACACCATCAATGCAATGAAGTCTTTGGACCCTAAGGGCCCTGAAAAAATTCTGAGGGGAGCCACTGAGGGAAGCACAGGGGCCCGAAACTTAACCCGGGAAGCCCTGAACCCCAAGCGCAGAAACCCGATAAGCCCCGAAACCTGAAAACATCTGAAAACCCTAATTAGGCAACTTGTTTTGGGGCTTGGGAGGACGCAGGGTATCGCATGCCCTGCCTCCAGAACTGTGCGGTGGCCAGGGTGCAGGTCGCGAAGGGACAGGCTCATGTTGTCCAGGACCTTTGGGGCTTTTGGAGCTGCTAGGCCTTGCAGGAGCATAGGCTATAGGGTTTCAAGGCTGAGGGCTTGAGAGGGCAGCCGACTCACGGTTTTTAAAGACTGCAATTCCGGGACCATGAGCTTCGTGCAGGATACAAAATGCCAACTAGCCCCGACCATGAGGTGTCCATGATGGAACTACTAAATACGGGGAAATACTCTACAACTACTAAATGTGGGGAAACTTTCCCCATTTAGTAGGTTCCAGTCATACGTTTGGTCGAACTCATTGACCATAGGTGACGCGTGAAAATTCCCAACTCGATCACCCAATATCCAAACAAGATTTCTCTTGCTTCTTACCGACCGTGTAAAGAAAAAAGAGCTTCTGTGTGCTAGGGTTTTCTAGGTAAAACAAGAACACCCACCCCAGGGTCAGGGCCGCGCCTGTGTGATGAGCTTCACCGCCACGCTCCCCTGCTGGTTCTTGAGGCAGAGACCCGAGTAGCCCACTATCAGCTGCAGCACCTCACGGGCTGGGGCCATGTGTGTTCTTTCTACACACACGAAAAATCTCGCGCACTACGAGAACAAAAATCAAGCTGTCGTGCTGGTGATGCTGATAGGATTTGTTCCGGGTTATGCCCATCACATGCGGGCTCCCGACGCCCCGCCCGGCCTTGGGGTGTGGAAGGCTTTGGTGTTCCCTCATTTCCCTTATCATTGCGGTTACTGAACCCATTGAGATTGGGAACTGCTACAAGCCTACAAACTTTGTCTCAGCTGGCACTCTCATTTGCGCGCTCTGTCTGTCAAAGAGACGTCGATGCAAATCACAGCCTGTCCCGAGTCATCATGCAAGGACACAGGAAAAAACCCACTATCGCTTTCCCAGCTACCAGAACCTGTACATGCTTTGCATCTGCCCCCATTATCCCCTTCCCCAGCCAACCCCTTCCCGCTGCACCGTCTCCACCAGCAAGGGCTTGCCACTGACCATTGTCGCCGGGCTAAGAACGTTCAGACTCCTCACCATGCATCCACCAAGGCCGAAGAGTCCATGCATTCAGACGCCATGAGGAGGATGTTCTAAGGAACCATTTTAGCAAACTTTCGATAAGGGGGACTGTAGCTTCGAATCCACAGCCGCTCCCGGGAGTGGCAGATTCCAGGAGCTTGATGCACGCGGAATACCTCCCACACGGGCTGACTTTCGGGCTTTAAGATGCTTTAAGCTAAGGGTTCAGGGTTTCGGGTTTACGGTACAAGGATGGTCTGAAGGCTTGGCTGGCGAGCTTGCAGTCTATGCACAGTGCTGTGGTCCATGGGTCGGGCGGATGACCCCGGGTTCCAGGTTTTCGGGGGATGGTGAGACCTTCGATCCTGCCTACCCTTCAAGTTCTGGGATTACAAATCATTTAGGAGCCCGGATGTGTTGCTTCAGATAGAATATCCTGGGTGCCCCACTGCCCCTGCTTTTCGAAGTCGATGTACTGCTGCAGAACTCGCTGCGGCAGGAGCTGCAGCACCTAGCAGACTGGAGGGCCCAAATGCTGCTTAGGGCTTTTAGGGTTTAGGATGGTTTTAGGGTTTAACTGTCCCGAAGTGGATGAAGATTGAACTTGTAGCTGGCTCTGAGGGGATTGGCCTTACACGCCATCCGGTTGGAGGTCGCTGGCGCCGCTTTGTTTGATTGAAAAGGGAAACCTGGAGCTATCCAGTTGTAGAGTCCTAGAGTCACTACAATGGCGCCCATCTCAGACACACACACACACACACACACCATGCTTAACGTCTCGATCCAACATACACGGAAGTACCGGCAATGACTAGCGGCCAGACCCCAAAAATATCTGCAACCATCTGCATCCCAACACCACCTTGGCGCGGTAGGCCGCGAAGCGGTGCGCTTTGATGGGCAGCCAGATGGGCTTGCACCTGCTGCAGTCTCTCGGTTTGAGGGGAGCTCGGGGGGATTGAGCCAGGTTTCTGATGCTTCAGGGAGAGTGCAAGGCTAGGGCAAGCTTAAGGCTCAGGTTTTCGGACTTTGGGAAGCATCGGCAAAGAGAACCTCTCCGAGCCCCGAAACCTTGAGCCCACTGCGCCTGGACACGCAGAAGTTGGTGTCCAGCTTCGGTCGCCTCCGTTGCTCTTGGCATCTGAAGGGGATTTCCAGCAGGGGCACCCATGTACAATGACCGCTACCAGGATGCTGCAAAGTTTGACGAGCTGTTGTCGGATACCTCTCCAACCAATTTACCAAGCTCCACACTGCAGACTCCAGCTACGACCCCTGGCTTCGTTCTTAAGACTTGCACCATCAGATCCGAGGGCACCACTGCTTGCCGGGTGTCGTGGTCGATGTGCCAGGACGGCTGCCTGAAAGCTCACACGTAGGGATGCGAAGACTCCTTGAGGCTTCCGTATCGTGTTGTGACGCCAACGTGGACACGGAAAGACCCGAGCTACATCAACGTCAAGCTGCCGGCGCACACACAGACACAAACAAAAAAGAGAGCACGGACTTTGGAAGCTCGCCCGTTAAATGTCACAGGCTGTCTGCACAACAAAAGCTGCACGTCGTGACAAGTCCGCAGAAGAGCCCTACAGTCCAACCTGCTCTTCTCCTTTTCATAAGGGCCTTGACACGTGGCTACTCTAAGCTTGCTTTTACAAACTGGTCATGTCACCAGGTTTCCACCCGTAGGTGCGACTCCTAGATACTTCATATGTAAAAAAAGCATATAAAGGGCATCGGTGGAAGCCTGGAGGTGTGAAAATGTCGTGCCGCGCACTACACGGATGCAAGAGTTTCTGGAGTTCTGCAGGTGGCGGGGGCGTCTGAGAAGGCTGTCCAGGGCTTAGGGGTGCTTGGGGTGGAGGGACGCTACTACCAGCACGTTCGTGAACACCTGCTTACGCACCCATCCCACAGAAATCCCGGGAGCTGTCAAACATTTCGTCCTCCACGATGGGGTTCCTGGAGAGCACCCCACGAATGTCAATGTGGAGGTGTCAAAATTTCTGTGAAACTGTTGCCACAGCTTTGCTCTCCAAACAAAGCGCTGCAACCGCCACAAATCTGTTGCATGCATTGTAACCGAAACTTGCTCTCTCATTTAAAGGAAGAGATGCACCTGATTGCAGGGCGCGAAGAGGGCTCAAGAAGACAGAAGCTAGCTCTGGGGCGACCGCAAACACGGAACACTTTCTACTCCAGCTCAATCCCCCCACTTCACCTTGGGCGACCGCCAGCGGGCCGGCTAGCCGGTGCGAGCTTTCTTTCTGAGCCTCAAAGGTGCGGCTTCCTGCACGATAGCTATACTTTGTCACTCAAGTTACCAGATTACTCATGATCGCTCGTGTACCACATTACTTATTAGCTTCATGGTTGCTGCTATCATGGCGTTTGCTGTTGTACCTCATGGGCACTCAGGGGCCCAACAAACCTTCACATCTCAACTGCACTGGACAACCCAGCAGGGCTCCGGGCTGCTCCTCGTCCTGGATCTTGGCCTTTTGCGGTGCTGTGGGAGCGGGGCGCTTTTGTTTTCTTGGCTTCTTGGCTACGGCACAAGGAGTGGTGTTGCCAGACGACGCTCACCAAAATATCCAATATGATGGCATGGCCCGGACGAGTTACCTTCCAAAACCGCCCGGAAACACCATAGATACACCATACAGGACCCCGATTAAGAAGACTAACCACATACAGTCCAGTATTTCTAATGTGGCAGCCATGCCTCCAGACAAGCGCGCACTTCCTCCCAGGGTTGTGGGGAGCTTGCAGCGGCTGGTCACTGGGGCTTCTGCGAGTTTAGGGCTGGTTCTTGTGTGATCAGGGTCGGAGCATGTGCGAGCTGCGAGCTTCGAAGAAGCTTCGGTGCCGGGAGGGCCCGCCTTGGCGCCGTGCGCCAGGATCTGTGCGACTTGCCGTCCCCGGCCAGTGGAGGCAGGCAAAGCCAGACCTATGCTTCAAACAGTGCAAAGAGGGGAGGGGAGGGTCGGGTTTTCAGTTCGGGCGAGTGGCAGTAAGCCTTGTAAGCCCTAAGGTCTAAGCCGTTCATTAAACATTGAATGTCATACGACATGTTCCTGCTGTAGCTGGAAGATGCTTGACAGGATGCTCTTGCACATTCTGCACCTACCGCTGCTACTCCCGGCAAGCGGGACGCGGGTTGCGGGTTCCAGGTGGGGCAGATTTTGCCAGGGCTGCCTCCCAAAAGTCCGTGAATCATGAGAATCCAAACCCGCGACGTCCAGATTGCGCCCAGAACTTCTCGAACCCTACGTCAAGCCTAAACCCTAAACCACAAACCCCAAACCCCAAACAAAACATGAATGGGTATGAACAATATAAGGCCCCCACCCGCAGCAGGGGTAGCCCTGGGCTGTGGGTGTGCATGGCGGCTGCAACGTGAACGAAGAGGGAGGCATGGACCGAGTTCGTCACCCGCATCCGTTTACCCCCCAGCATTCTCTGAAAAGCACGGGCCTGTGAGCCCTGCATGGAACTTGCAGGGCCCATACTTCGTGGTGCCCCCCAAATCTTGTGTCACCCTTGGGAACAAAATGGGCCCTCTGGTCCACATATGCTGAAAGCGATCAAAGTCGCATGTTGCTGCCAGCTTTTTGGGGGTTCTTTTGTCGTGCACACAAAATACCGTCCTCACATCTGGGGAAGGGGCGCGCCATCAGCAGGGCAAGCTATCACGGGAAACCTCGCTGGGGGCTGGAGGTTTGGGATTGTTAAGGCAAGGTTGTGGCATCAAGCACAGTAATTCTTGTGCTTCCGGCTTTGCGGGTAGGGCTTGCGGCCTGTAAGGGCTAATCCAAATTGGCTGGTTCCCAGGAAGTTTTGCCGGGATGCCTTGCAAGTAATGCCCAAGGCTCACAAGCTCAACTCCCTCAAACCCGAAAATCCAATAGCCGCCTAAGCCCTGAACCGCCCCACACTCTGCCATTGTGCGATTTGCTTAGAGGCTCTTTGCCGAGTGACACTGTGGACTGCAGCGGGCCAGGGCTAGACCTGATCGTGGCAAATTCGCAACGCTTTCGCAGAAGGGCTTGGTTTGATGTAATGGTGTAGTTCTCGGGCTCTAAGGGCTTTAGGGGTTCTTAGGAATTTTACCGGCTAAGGTTGCTTGAGGGGTTTATATGGGTATCGACATGTACTGTCTTGAGGTTCCTGCTGAGACAGAGCATCCAAGCCCTCCCTTTTCGGAATGACTGGGGCCTGGAGCTCACGCTGAAGCCCTGAATAGCTATCTAGATTCCTGGGTCATTTCCTCATTCAGAGCTCTGTCTTGAAGAGACTGCAACCCACCCACAGGCCGACTCCTGGGTCGCCCACGCAGCACTGGCGGTGCTGCCACACAGTAGCATCCTTAAACGGAGGACATCTGTGAGGACGTTGAAAAGGCGGGTTCGGGGCCTGATTGAGGTTTACAACGTTGCAGTGTCCATCGAGCTATATACACTCCTGAAACCCACAGCTGCCCACAAGCTTTAGACAAATACAACGCCCGCCACATACCCTCAACTGCTCAAAAGATGAATAGACCAATGGTTGTTCAAGCAAGCAGCACCATAGGCTCGGTGGCCTTGTTGTAATCGGCCTGGCTAATGGCAACAGGAGGGCTTGAGGACGACGTACCATGAGTGCGAACTAACTTGCCCTTGTCGGACCTGGGAACCCACGTTGTGACGAGGCATTGGCAAGTAAGACTGATCTGGAGTTCGGCGAATGTGAGGCGCTGCGTATGAGATCACTGTGCTGATTCTCGAGAACTACAGGTAGTCCGGCACGGAGGGGAGGAGGGGACAGTCTGCGGAAGGTAATGACCCAAACTTCACCAGCGAAAATCCTAGCACAAGCATGTGGAAGCTGAATGGGACCTGAATTGCAAGAACCATTCCCAGGCCAAGGTCCCCCTGGAAAGCATGCCAGGGCCGGCCACCAGCTGCTCCAGAGCGGCATCCTTTGGGAGTACCACCACCCTGGGGCGAAGGCGCTCTTTGGCACTGGCGTCCGCGCTGCAGGGCGCACACGATAAATATTGACATCCGTGAGCATGTACATGTGCATGTACATGTGCATGTACATGTTGGATTCGTGGTTGTGAGCAGGTTCTCGAGATACTCTGGGAGACTCTTGAAAGAGCTACAGAAATTTTGCGAGGGTGTTGAAATGACATGTCCGACTAAGAGAAACTCGGAGAGGGACTATGCACACAGACGTTGAGATGCAGCAAGGGCAGAGCAGCGTAAACGGCGCTCACGAACCTAGTGCAAGCCTCACACAAAGCAACAGCACTCCCAAAAAAATCACGACATGTGTGCAAAACGATATGCGGGGCGTCTTATGCCCACTCACCAAAGAATGCGCGCATAAACTGTGAAAGGAAATCTCTGATGGTGGCCTCAGCATTTACATGGCATGGGAAGACATGCCCACCCCTCCTAAGAGTCTAGCGTGAGTCAAAAGGGGGTAGCAGACCATGCCAAGTCATGTGAGGAATATCAGAGCCCTCATTCATCCCCCAAAGGTATGCCATCAGGCTGAGCTTTCCCACTGGGAAGGAATCTTGAAGGAGTCGAGATCCGTTTTGATGGTCTCCGCCTGTCGCCTAGGCATCTGCCACGAAGGCAGCGGTTCAGACTCGAAGTGTCTCGGATGGAGTGAGTCCTTTTGGGCCCTGGTTTCAGGAGGCTGGAACTGTAGAATTCTGTGGGCTTATACGATCATAACACGTAGGGCCGCAATTCCCTCATTCCAGTGCAAGCTCTGAGGCTGCGAGATGCCGGGCGCTTGGGCCTTGGGGCTGCGGCTTGTCCGCGTCGGTCTCGACGGCCAGCAAAGCCAGGCATCCCCGGATCATGCCCGCACGGGACAGGTTGCTAATGATCCTGGTGCCCGCTGTAGTTTTTGTATACAGATATATATATATATATACATACATACATACATACATACATACATACATACATACATACATACATACATACATACATACATACAGTACATTTCCATACATACATGAAAAAGACACATACATATAAATATATATATATATATATACATATAGTACTTTCATAGTATAATAGACACAAATATAACATATACAATATACATATAAATATACACCTGCAAATGCTGGTGTGAAGGGTTTCCAGGGGCAGCTTCGGGCTATTCGAGCCGACTCTCGGTGGGGTTGGTGTGTCAGAGCCCGAGGCCCTGAAGGCGACTCTGGATTTTATGGTCAAAAGTTGATGCCCCAGCTTCACCGTCAAGTTTTGAGGGTCCATCGGCGTCCTCTTCTCCGGCGCCATCTTTGGTGGGAACTGGAACCTCAGGCCAACAAACCTTCTCAAGTTGCCAAGCTCCAGAGGGTGCCTATTGGATGTTATGCACCCTGCGAATTCCCGGTGACCGTCTCGTAGATCTTGATGTACCGGTACGCACCTGACAGTCAACAGCTTGAAGCACCTACTCAGATTGGCCTTACAATGATTGTGCTTGGCCCAAGTCTCACATTCCAAGCGGCAGATCGCCAAAGCCTGCCCTGGGGAGCGCACACTCGACAACCTGGTCGTCGCTAAGCTTGGGCGCGCTCTTGTCCTGCTTGGCATGGCTTCAGAGAGTCAGAGACTTGCGGTAGCCAGAATACCAGAATACCAAGAAACCTTCTGACCATTGACTCATGCTCGGCCCTACAGCGCCACTCGAAGCCCCTTGAAGCCGAAGATCCCGCAGAACCTCCCCCCCCCAATTAAAAGACATGGGTTGAGCCTTCCTTTTGTCCTTTAGGAACTTTAGGGCTCCAGGCTCCAGACATATCCAAGCCCTGACGTCCTTGGTGGGGTCGAAGCCCAGGTCCAGAAGCGCGTCTCGGACCTCTGTGAGGCAAGGGGGGCTTGAGATGTACGAGTAGGGTGCGGGGAACTTGGGATCTTGGGACACTCGATACAGGAAACTGCCTGAATGAGGCCTTCGTCGAGTAGGGCCTTTTATGCGTCTTTCATGGAGCTATTCGCGCGCGCGCTCCCCCGGCCGACCCTTGGGTTCAGGTCGTTGCTTGAGGCATCGGCATACTGCTTCGAGAACTCCTTCATCTTCAGGTCAGGCTTCGCCTTCATGAGCTCCGTGACGTTGGGGTACCTCTCGAAGCTTCGGCAGCTCACACGCGCACGGATCGCAGGAAATGAAGGGGAGAGGATTGCTGGCAGATTTCTTGACTTTTGACTCAGCTAGCAACACGAGATGCATCGAGATACCGCAAGGAAACCTGTGACTCTGGGACAGGGCACTTGCCAGTCTTCATCTCTTCGGCTATCTTGGGGTACTTGGCTTCATACTCCTGAACTTGCTGGCAGAAATGGCCACTGCATGCTGGAACTCCACATGCAACGTAGATATGAAAGCTCCAGGTTGGGGTCTCACAGCACTGATCGACTCGCACACCATTTCGCAGCATTTTGCAACACAAAAAAGTGACTAACAGCACGGTCCTCGATTGTGCACATGCGCGAGGAGTCTGGCGTGTTCACCTCCAGGGCGAGATGCGCTTCAGACGTGCACCGCGCCGTCAACATACGAGACTGCTGCAGGCATAAACTGCGCTTCTTCCGGCAAGGCCTCAACTCTCTGGAGGCCGTGCAAATACGAACAAAACTCACATTGAACAAATCTGCCTCGAGTTCCGGAAGACACTCGCCGCTCGCCCTCGTTGAGAACAGGCACATGAGAAGCCAATGTGGCCTCGTCGATGACATGAATCACTCCCTTGTCGTCCAAGCCGAACTCGTACTTCGTGTCCTGGCATCGGGAAGGTTGGAGTCTAGGTGCCTCCCTGGCCAAAATCTCCCCCCATTTTGTAGACACGGAAGCTTTTCAAAACGAGGATCCCCAAGTCTCGGGATTCTGGTCCGTTTTGAGGGCACCATCGGAACCTCTTCAAACATTTTAGGGAATCAACCACATGCCGCCGGCGCGAGTAGCAGCAGCCCTCGCTTCCGCATCAGCTCGGACCCTGGCCAGGGCTTGGAGTCACGGGAAGGTCGTCAGGTGGGTGGGAAAAAGGGGGGGGATTGGTAGGGCTCTCAAGCTTTCTGACAATCCAAGTTTCAGGGTGTCAAAGGCTCTCTTGAGCAGCACCCCTCAAGTTGGCTGAATAAGCAAGGCAGCAGCGCCACGCTGGAAGAGCTTCATGGCGGCCTCCATGGCCTTCTGCGCCAGCTCCTTGCCTTCCGTCCAGGTGTTCAGGGAACCCTACTAGGATGTTGATGAGGGCTGGCGTGTTCAAGGCTTGGTTCGCCGAGATCCGCTCTCGCTTTGGTGGGGTGAAGGGGTTTGCGTTCAGAACAACGCAGGACCCATGCTAAACCGGAAGAGCGGCAGCCGAAAATACCCTGAGGCCAACACCTAGTAGCTTCTCCATGTCCTCCATGGTCATGTTCTCGTCGTGACCTCTGTGGACCCCGTGCCTAGGCTTAACCTGTGTTGTCTTGCAAACATCCCCGCTTCCCCATCTGAGCAGAAAGTCCCAAGGAATCCCTCCACCCTGAACCACTGGGTTCGGAACCCACTTCTGCTTTGGTGGTGGGCGTGAAGATGGGCTTCTCGAGCTTCTGGAAGCGGATCAGCCTTTTTGGGTGGTGGGAGCCACGAAACCAAGGCAGTAAGGCGAGGCCCTTGAAAACCATAAGCTCTCCTAAACGAACCCTCTAAACTCCTCCCACCCCCCCCCCTTTTCCGGGCCCTGCAAAGAAGAAACAGGTAAAGGGGGGAGGGGCGCCCATCAGGGTCAGGATTTTTTCGGTGGATGTCAGTGGGGCCCGCGCCCATCCGGTAGCTTCAGGCCGCAGAAGCTTCGGTCGCCCTTCTCCTCAGCTCGCGCTGAGGCGCATTGTCGAAAGTTCACACCCATTGGGGGTTTGGGGTTATAGGGCTCTTGACCTCCCACACAACGTGCCGGAACCCAAACCGCTAGCAAACGCGCGTCCTCGCAAGTAGCCCTCACCTGCTACCCTTCCACATCCTACGACACCTGAGGGAACCCCCGAAACCCCCTGCGACTTTCAACCGCCAAGATGCGTAGGCCGCTGCCATGCTTCCCCACAAGTAGCCTGCCAAGCCATCCGAGCAACCCCAAGATGTGGGGAAAATCGGTTTCCAGCTGGTAGAAATGCAGGAGATGTGTTCCCTATGTTTAGCAAAGCAGCCCCGCAATTCAGATTCCACATGACAAGCGTCCGAGCAGGGGCCTCTAACGATGAGTTCCACGTTCAGGTTCTTCATCTTCTTCTGCACCACCACCTAAGTCTCTTATAATTTTAGAAGCTCCCCGGAAGCCCACGAGGTGTCCCCAAGTATTGGCCAAGGCACACTGGCATCGACGTTCTCGATCAAAGCATTAGGGATGATGTCCTGGACATGTTATTCTGGGGTCGAGGGTGCGTCTTGCAGGTTTTATGGATAACAAATGGTTCCAGGCGCTCAGTTTCGTCTAACAACTGCCTAGCATCTGCCGTCGCGGCCTAAGCCCCACGAAAAAAGATCTTCCGTGCTACATCTATAAACCGAACCGTAACCCCATCAACCCAACAAGGCCCTGCATCTTAGGGTAGTTACAAGGGCCCTTGGTACAGGTCCTGTATTTGGGAACCCTTACAGTATCCTTACAGTATTTTGCCATAGAACCCAAGGACCCATACCTCAGTACCCTTTAAGGTCTTTGAGGAGGCAAGGGACCAAATACCCATAGACCGTAATCCTCGTAAGCCCACCCCGTAAAGACGATGGTGTGCCTTAGTTTGGCTGAAGGCCCACTCGCTGATCATGTTCAGCACCTGGCCCTTGAAAGGGATGAGGTTCCTGGCTCGCGTTGACATTTTGCCCGGTGCATTTTGGAGTCTTGGGTTTTGGGGGGCGGTGGGGGGAGGGAAGTCCGACGTGAAATCCAGCTAGGACCCCAAGGCAGTCAGAGACCCATCAAGGTTTCGAGTGCCAAGATGTGGAGGTGTAGGTTGTTACGCTATGCTGCTTGGCCTGTTCATTATCTGTTCACATGGACACAAGATGACAAGCCAAGCGCCTTCGTAGGAAAAGCATAACACCCAACTGACAACCATGGGCTAACAACGCGGGCCAGGTCGCTCCACTCAAACCAGCCAGGGTCTCGGCAAGATGTAGTCAAAGGCCGAGACACCTCAGCTGATGCCGCTTGCTCTGCGCTTTGATCACTTTTGGAAACTGAGAGCGGCACGATCATTCGTGACCATGACAACATTCTTTCCAGAGAAGTAGATGCTGCGCACCTGCTTCCCCCGCAGACAACGGCCCAGCAATCCTGACTACCTCACCAGCACCATACTCAACCCACCACCCACCAGAGTCTCAAAACCTACTCCGAAAGAGAAGCAGAGAAGCTCTGATGACACTCCGTTGGCGCTCCGCACTTCGGGCCTTGCCCTGCTTTTGCTCCCCGAGCTCCGGGATGAAGCACTCTGGCAGGGTGAGGTCCAGGTACCTGGACTTCTGAGACTCTTTCGGGGATTTCAGGAGGCATTGGGGGATTCCGAGAGGGAGGCGGGAAGCAGGAACTCCCGAACTCGTTTGCATGTCGCTGTACTTGGCTACGTTCGAAACTCAAATGGCCATGCTGAGCCCTAGCCCCTTCTCATCAAAGCCCGAAGTCAAGACCCCCTTCACCCCCCCCATGCAGTGCCCTTTCCTCTGGGCACCCGGGCTCACGAATCTTGGCCTTAAAGGATGCTTCCGCGGAGCCGTTGGTGGCCTCAGGGTTTACATTTAGCTGCCACGCAGGGACGGGATGGGAGAGGGAACATGGTTTTGAAGAATTGGTGAAGTTAATGGCTCGCGACTCGGGAATGTTGTGCTTCCTGATTCTGGGTTTCGACGTCTGGTGGCTCTCGTTCTATTTGCTTGCACGCATCACGCACTGGGGGCTCGGCAGCCATGTGTCGCAGCGTTGTACTGGTCCGGTCAGCAGCGGAGATTTTGAGCCACTTCAGACAAGTGCCGGGTGACTGAATGAGGGGCATTTGGCTATGACTTTGGGGTCTTCTTGCCCTCCTTCCAGCACTGCAGCGGCCTTGCGGGTGCTCAAATCAGGGTGTTTTATGCCGATAGAGACGGGGGTGAGGAAGCATCGAGTCGAAAACGTCAACCTTCGGTGGGGTATGGGCCGCGGCCGGCAAGGCATTTCGGGCAACCCTCAGAGCAGAAGCCCCCATATGCAGCTCTTATGCTTCGAAACCCCCACAAAGAGACTTGCAGCTGTGCCGACGCCTTCGTTGGTGCTGCTGAGATCCTCGGCCTTGAGGATGGACCTCACGCCATCGGATTTACGGGCTTCTCGGGACTCACTGATTGCAGGTGCTTAGGCAGGTCATTCTGGAGGAGATGCGGTGCCTGACCCGCACCTTCCCTGGGTTTCGGGCTCGGCCGGCTGCAGCCGTGGGGGGCTGGTCCCCGTGGAGAGTGGCACCACCTCACGAGTTTCTGCATGCGGCTCTCCTGCTTGAGGTGCGGGAGGTTTAAATGGGCTCAAGGCCACCTATGGGTTTTGGGGTCCGTGCTTGAGGGTGTTGGGCAGGGTGGGGAAGGCCGTTAAACACTTCCACTTTGCAATTGAAATCTTGACGCTTCCTATCTCTCAGGCCTCTTCTGCTTGAGCAGGGACCATGCTCCCTGGAGCAGGTTGTACTAATTTGAGCCTCAAGGATCCTCAAGGCTTAGGGATGCTTGCCGTGGCTTGCCCGGGAAACCTAAGCACCCAGAAGCAAGCTCACGTTGATTCATGGTGAACCCCTCTCAGCTTCGGCTTGAGTGGTGTAGCGTATTAAGAATATACTTTTCTGTGGGTTGATTTTTTGGCTTAGAATCCCCTACAAGTACCCGCAGCGGACGGCTTGGCCCCCGGCTGCAGGATTGATGTCCTGCGACCAAGAGGAGTGAAGCGGAAGGCGGTGGGTGATTGTGATTTTGACGTGACTGTGATGGAGCGTGATTGACTGTGATTGTGCTTGTGCGAGCGTGTATGAGTGTGGAGTTGCAAGAAGTGAAAAAGTGCTGAGAGCTGCTCGGAATGGTGCAGTGCTCCTTGAACTGGGAGTCGTCGCCATCCATCTCCTCGCAGCACGGCTCCAGCATTGAGAGCTTCGGGATCTTAGGACATCTTCGAGTTGTACCGAGTTATAGCACCTCCATGGAAGCAAAAAGCCTGTCCAGATTCACACAGACGAGCTCGGGTTTGCTTTGAGGACGGGCTTCGATTTAGGTGAAAAACAAACATGATCAAGAATGTTGGCTACTGGTCCTTGAGGTAGTTGGTCAAGTACTCGCCAGTGACCTGAACGTCCGACTCCTGTGGCGACCGACATCCCAATGGGCTCTTTTTAGACACGTTCGGTGGGTTTTCGAGAAGGCCTGTTTCAAGGTCCCTGGCCAGGGCCCCCAACAAATAGGTAGCTATCTAAACGGTGGACCAGGGGTTCAAGTTTAAGGCGAGGCGTGCCGGCAAACTATGCAAGCCCCAACCGAAAAAACAAAACACAACCCGAAAGAACCCTTCGATTTTTTCGCGGGATCCTCCACTTGCGGAAGGGTCCTGCGCAAAAGGTAATTACGTCGGTGTACGACATCGAATTGCAGCATGGCTTTCCTGCTGCCTAGCTTCTACTAATCTCGAGGTGCCGTCCGATCTTTGTTCGGCATGTTTTCGTCAACTTTTGCAACTGGGATGATGAGAGATATTGTTGCATTACAACTGCCCTCAGCGACTATAGAAAGACTCGGTCGGCCTGCCTCGAGGACGAATCATTGTCGGCTGTGGGTGCACAGCAGAGCTTTACACGCCAGGCAAAATTGCAGGCACGGCTTCAGGCTCCAGGCCACGTGGATCGTGCAAAACTCAAATTCAAGCCTTGGCCGCACTATGCTTGGAAGAGAACTAAACGCCTCAAATCAATCTCAAAGGGCCCAAAGGGCCTTCGTCGCCCCTGGCCTTATCCGCTCCCGCCAGGCAAAGCCGCCAGCCTGCAGCGGATTGAGACTCATCCGTTCTCCACGAGAGGGATTCCACGGTAAAGGACTTGCCCACAATGGCACGGCCTGGGCCGCTATAGTCCTGGAAACAGGGTTTTCGCATCGCATACCATCGCTTTATGACATTGTATGACATCATGTCGCTTGGTACTTTCGTGCTCCCTCCGATATGCAACAGAAGCCATGTGTAGTTCGTTTTGGAACATCCCTGCGCCTGGCCGTTGATGGTTAAGCGATCGTAGTTGGGCTCCGTTGCAAATTCCACAACCGTAACCACCGTGCCGGGGGGAAGTGAGAGCTCACAGCGCTCGTCGGGTCCATAGGGCTCTGGATAGTTGGGGCTTTGCGCGCAGGTGCCACTCACAGTGCAAGGGCCAGTCACTTGCCAAACGGAGGGTGTAAAGGTCACGGTACCGGAAATCGTGGTGGTGGCTGTCCGTGTCGTGCCCATTTCCTTCCTGTAGACCGCTGTTGGCGGACAGTTGTTCAGGCCCGTGTAGGTCAGACATTCACCGTCTCCTACACAGAGCTCCCCAGGCAGCGCTGCCTGGCAACCAGAGAGATCCACCACGCTGGTAGGGCACGCTGTTGATGGCACAGGCGAAACCACCAACCCATCGCTGCAGAGTGGTGTCTCTATGCAGACTTCCCAGGTGCCTCTCCGCGTCCAATGCGTCCAAGGGTCAGATGCAGACTTCCACGAGATCTCCGTATCAACCACAAACGTCCCACCCTCTGCGAGCTCGACTCCGTCGATGCTGAAGACCTCGTCAGCAGGCGGGGAGCGCCCACGCCGAGACACTTGCACAGGTGTGCCCTTCGGAAGCGTCAGAGTGCACTCTCCACTTTCGGCAGTCCGGGCACAATCCCCTCTAATTGTGCATGGCCCAACGAATTGCCAAGGCCCCTCTTCGTGCCAACGAGTGGTTGTGAGGGTGACGCTTGTCGTCCTCGTCATAGAGGTTTCAGTGGTGCTTGTCTTGGTTGTGCCCGCGCCCTTGCGATAGACGTCCAGGGACGGAGGATACGTGAAGGCCGCATCGTAGCCTCAGTGGCGAGGCTAAAACTCAGAGTATGGACCAGGCAAATCGCAGCCTCTGGCGGCTTTTTGGTACTGTAAAGGACTTGCTCTTGAACCCTCCTCCCAACCCTGCATGCAGTATCAGGCGACGGCCCCAGGGGTGAAGTATAGGGGTTGTGTTAGTAGGGTCGAAGATTTACTTCTCCTTTGTTTAGGTTTGGGATGAAAGCCGTGCTGATTATGTCTGATTACGATTTAGGGCAGCGGCTCAAGTCAAATTCTCAGACTTTTGGCTGAAGTTGTCTGTCAAGGTGTGCAAATCGCTACTTGCAGCGGGCTTATCTCACATCAGGTCGCGAGAACTACACATCACCCCATTGTGGACGATACATAGCAGGAATACACATCAGCGGCGGAATTACACATCAGGACACAGCAATCCCGACAGGAATTCAGGCAAACAGCCAATATGGGTCAAACTGCCGGATTTGCCGCGGACGCCAGCGTTTTCAGCATGTTGTTTTTGTATATCATGTTAACTAGGTTTCAACAGCTAATCACCAGGGAGATTCTAGAAAACCAACTAACCGAGGAATCCCGAATTCGATTAAACCTAAACTGCCGGGGGGTTGGTCGACTTGTCGCGGCGGCGATCAGGGTGACCGAGACCACCCGGCAGCAATCATCCGCTACTTAACTTGCAGCTCCCGAAGAGATGCAAAAGCCTATCAAGAGACAACAAAGCACCGTTCCCCAATGTGGACGCCGACCGATGTGTTGGGTTTTGGGCTGAGGGCCTAGGGTTCATTCAGGCACTGCCAACATGCAAAAAGAGCACATGACGACGAGGCCGACTTCGACACATCAGGAGATATACTCTGGGGAATGCAGTTCCCCTGGAAGCCGATTGATGCATAAAAAACCGAGCGATGCGAGACGAAGCGATTACAAGTAACCTCGTGTTTTCATAACTCCACGGGAGCTTCTTCATGTTCCCCAACCAGCTTTAGCTGCGGGTCCTTATTTTGCGCAAAGAAAGGCTGCTCTGCACTTTGGGAGCTCTCTGCGAGACAAGTGCCTTGACGCTGGCTGCCGTGACGTGCGTCTGGGACTGCTTGCTTATCAGTTTTCTCCCACTTGCTCGTCTGCCAATTGTCTCCCGTGAAATTAGCAGTCAATTGTTTACTCTCTGGTTGCATGCTGCAGCGGCAGATTTAGATGTGCAAAAAGTCGACTTTGCTGTTTCCAAAGATGAAAAGCAGTTGTCCTCAATTGTTGTTTGGGAATGTTTGGGATCGAGGCTGGTATAATACGGCCCTGAAGCACGAACTCAGTTGAAGCAACAGCTGATTTTCCGAATACGTGCCGTCATGGGCCAGGTCGCAATTGTTGATATCATCCCTCGTGCCACAGCTTCCGCCTCCGACGCACAGCTCACCCGCCTCCGCGGAGGCACAACCTCTCAGGGCTGCACTGAGGTTTAGGAAAGTGTTCACAGATGTACACAGGTTGAGGGCTTCATGAGGGCAACGAGGGCAATGGGAGGTACCATTTTTGTGGTTCGCTTAGAGGCTTAGACGTTAGATTAGATGCCTCACCAGCCCCGTGTGGTGCACTGCATGTCTGCTTGTTAAACCACGCCGCTGTTTTAGTATAGCTCTTACATTCCAAAGATCTCCAAAGACAACCCCAAGCCCTTTCAAAGCAGCGCAGGCCTGGAAGACTTCCAGAATCTGCCGGGCAGTCCGGCACGGTCACTGGCGTCAGAGGCAGGCCGTCGACGCAAGAAGGCAGTGGCTCGAAACAGACTTGCCAACCCTTGCCACTGCCGCTGGAGCTCCAGGTGATGTTGGACCAGACTGTGAAGAGATCTTCGTCCCCATCGTAGGCCTTACCATTGATGGTGAGCAGATCCCCGTCTCCGGTGCTGAAGGCCGTGATCCGCACCACTGACGGCTGAGGAAGCTTGAGTGCACATGCCTCAACCTTGGAATACGGCTGCGGGAAGTTTGGGCTCTCCACGCACGCGCCGTGCAACCTGCAGGGGCCTTCGACCGTCCACGGCGCGGGCCCATCCCAGAATCCAGGAATCTCAGTGGTTGTCTCGGTGCCGGTTGATGTCTGCGTTGTCTCCGTAGTCGTTGAGGCCGTCGATGTTGTGGAAGTGGAACCACTCATCTTCCGGTAGACATCACGTGAGGCTGGGTAGGTGTAGGAGCTGTCATAGCAATTATTGATGTCTGTGCGAGTTCCACAATAGCCATGACCTTCGCACAGCTCCCCAGGCCACGCCACCTCACACGATGGCAGCACGTCGGACGGGAGCGGGCACTCAGACACGGACACCGGAAGCAAGCCGAGTCCGTCTGAGCAGTATGGCGGTGGTTCAAGACACAATTGCCAGCCTTGGTCTACCATACTGGCATCAGATGCCCAAGTAATATTGGACCAAACCACGAAGGATTCACCAACGATGCTGTTGCTTTGTCCAGAGTACATGTGCCCATTCACTTGCAGTTGGTCGAACACACCTTCCGTAGAAAAGTGCATCACCTTCACCACTGTAGGCTGCGGCAGCGACAAAGTGCAGGTCTGCCCGTTCCCATAAGCCTGCGGGAAATTCGGGCTTTCTGCACAAGCACCGAAAGTGCCGCAGTCGCCGTCAACAACCCAGGGAATGGGCCCCGAATAGGAACCTCCAAGCGGGCGTGTGGCGGTGAAGGTAGTCTGGGCCGTGACTGTAGTGGCGGTCGTTGTGACCGTTCTCGTTGTCCCCTCACTCTTCCGGTAGACGTCGCGGGAGGGCGGGTGCGAGTACAGGCTGTCATAGCAATTGTTGATGTCAACCCTGGTTCCGCAGGCGCCATTGCCTTCGCAAAGTTCACCAGGTGCAGCTGCCACGCAGTCCGGCAAAACATCGGCGGGGTCCGGGCAGTCCCGGACCGCCACCGGAGTCAGTAGCAAACCGTCCACACAAGAAGGCAAGGGCTCCAAGCAAAGCTCCCAACCGCTGCCTGATGCCGAACCGTCGCTGTGCCAGGAGATGTTGGTCCAAGCGACGAAGGACTTGCCCTCAAGGGAGTCTCCGCTGTAGGACTCTCCATTCACAGTGAGCTGGTCGTAGCCATTCTCCGTGGAGAAGGCAGCAACGGTCACCACGGATGGAAACGGCGCAAGAATCGTGCAGCGCTCGTCTGGCCCATACTGAAAAGGGTAGTTGCTACTCTGGGCACAAGAACCACCACTACCAACAAGCTTGCAGTCGCCCTGCACTGTCCAGGATGGCTGGCCGCTGAACACACTGGGCGTTGAAGTCTGCGTGGTGGACGTCACCGAAGTCATGGAGCTCGATGATGTCGTGACGGTCCTGCTTGTGCCGGGGCTTTTCTGATACACGTCTCGCGAAGCCGGATAGGAATAGTGAGCGTCGTAACAATTGTTGATGTCAGTTCGGGTACCGCATGTGCCATCGGCTTCGCATAACTCACCTGGCTGCGCCTCATCACAGCTCGCAAGGAGCTCTGCTACGTCAGGGCACTGCGAAATGGGCACTGGTCTCAGAGGCAATCCATCGTCACAAGCAGGGGGCTCATCCATGCAAAGCTGCCAGCCCGTGGATTCCACTGAGTCGTCGGACGTCCAGGAGATGTTCGACCACACGGTGACGGATGTGCCCACAACTCCTTCGCCAGATCCACTGAAGGCATTACCGTCGATCACGAGCGTGTCGTAGCGGGCCTCTGTGGAGAATGCCACGATGCTCACAACCGCGGGCCGCTGTTGTGGTGCTAGCGTGCAGCTCTCCGCGCTCGCATAGAGTCCCGGGTGGCCTCTGCAGGCAGGCAATCAGCATCAGTGGGAGAAAACAGCACATCAAGAACAGGGCACCAAGGCTAGCGCATGGAAAATTCGCTACACCGGGCTGGACACGAATGGCAATTCTCTACTCACAGATAGAGCCATGAAAGACTTCCTGCTTGACAAGACATTACTCGGACCAGGCCCCCCCCTGAGGACTGCCTGTGCTACTGACACATGCGCCCTCGACAGAGCAGCCGCCCTCCACCAGCCAGGCAGGGGCGCCGGGGGCGGGGGGGGCGGCGGGGGCGCTCGTGCGCCGCCCACGCAGCTCCGGCAGCTTCGAAAAGCGCTCCGACTCACTCGAAGCCGCTGAGATCCCGAAAGCAAGCCAAAGAAGCCAAAGCAAGCTGCTGAAGGAGATTGCGACTGGGCGGCCCATGGCAGGTCTCGCCTGCAACTTTCGGGCCCGGAGTCTGCGGATGGGAGGTCATCAACCAGGTCACACTGCGAACCTTGCAATCTCTTACTCGGCGCTCTCACTTTGTCTTTGTCTCTCCATTTTGGGGTTCGCCGAATAACAGATGCCAAAAGCTTGGACCATCTGCATACCCTCGTGTCGGACACCGCGTGCCCGGACCCCCCAGTTGCAGTGGCCGCACAAAACGCTCCCTGAACTCCGCAAAGTTTGAAAAGCCCTGCAATGCCTCCGTCTTCTCTCCAACAGTCAGGTTCATTGACTTCATGGACATCGCCATGGTTGCCGTCGCACCTCGCAGGCAGAGTTCAAGGCGTTCTGCAAAAGTTGGGCTTTCAGGGCTTTCAGGGGTGCCAAAGGCAGGAACATCATCCCTGCCAGCCTGGTGATGCCGTGGGCGCCGGCTTGCCGGTAGCCGCCTCTTCCTGCAGGAGGTGTACTCGCTCTAGAGTCAGGCTGCAAATCTTCCTGTAAGTTCAGAAGTACGAAGGGGCAGAAGCGACGTCACCATGCAAAGGCGCATGAAGCATCCCTACTGTTCCAACAAACCACCAACACTGATAGCTGCGGGGCACCCCAGCAGCAGCGCTCTGTGCTGTTTGGCCCATCCTGCAGCTGCCAGACAAGGAGGGTGCTCTTGAAGGTAAGGATTACATTTTTACATCTTCACGCGCAGGTGCCCTGACAATGTGGACCCTGTATCCGGCGGTGGCGTCAACAGCTCACGAGTCGAGATGTATCTTGGACAGAACATAGCACACTCAGAAAAGCAATTCAACCAACTTGCTGCCAACCTTTGTACCGAACCCCAAACTTCTAAAGCCAAATTCGAACCCATGCCCGGAATATTCAACACATCACCCAAATCACAAACGTTTTCCCGCAAGTCTCCGCTTCCCCGCTGGCGCACCCTTGCCGAGTGCTGCCGGCTTTGCTCTTGAAGATGTCCGCATCCACGGGCTTGACGCGTCCGCCAGTTGCCTGCCTGTCCGAAAACTAGGCGCCGGAAGCTTTCCTAGACGTCGATACTCTGACTGCCAATATTTCGAGGGGCCCGCCCAGGTTTGTTGGAAAGTCTTGCGAATGAACCTTCCTGATCCACTCCAGGCCGTTCCTTCAGAAATCTTGGCTTAGGGGTCCTTGCTCTTTGTTGGCACGTCAAAGACCCAGGTTGCAGCTCCTATTGAGGCTGGAGGACTCCGGCTTCAGGATGCGGAAGGTTTCGGAGACTATGGGTCAGCATGGCAAATGGAGTACTGGTAAATCAGCCAAAAACTGTCAAGAAAAAGGTAGTCCCTCAGTCTGAGAAGCCAACTCTCCAGTGGGCTCCTTCTTGTTCTTGGCAATAAATGCCTGCATTCCGGTCATTCAGCTGCATGCTGCAAGACACACTGATGCCAAGGCAAAAGTCGCGAGAAGGCCTTGAAAGGGCCTGCTGTGCTCAATGTCAAAGGCCCCTCCTACTCCCATCGCCCGCCCGGTCAGCCCTTCCAGCCTACAGTGCGACAACCCGAGACGCTACAATTTCCGAGGAGCCCCATCACTCTGACATGTACAGTAGGTACAGTAGCAAGGCTGACAAATCCTTAAAACCACTCAAGAGGCCTTGTCGTATCCGACCACCGACCCTCGTTTCAGCTGGGCCGCGATGGACCTGGAGTCCCACACCAAAGGGGGGGGGGGGCTTTTGGGGGGCTTTGGGGGGCTTGGGGGAGTTTTGGGGGTTTGGGCGAGCGTTCCTTGCGCAGTACCACGGGCTTAGGTTGAGTTCGGGGGGTGTGCCACTCTGAACCAGGAGCTTAAACGAGGCCACCGGCAGAGTGCTGGGTGAATGCTCGATGTTCTGCACATCACCTCAGCCCTCTGGTCGAGATTGCTCTCGGCCGGCGTCCCTGTTGCTGTTCATTTTCTGGAGGGGGTCATTGGGTGAGTACCAAGGGTTGATCTCAACAGTTCTGCGTCTTTTGGGGGGTCCTAGCAGGGTATTTTCCTTATTCCAAGAAAGGGGCCTGTGACATCGATCCACAACACGCGATATGCTCAGATCAGCCCTGAATTGAAAGAAGATGTACGGCTATCTTCGGGAAAGCTTGTTTGGGACCCCGAACCTAGGGCCTCTTTGCTTTTCGGCTCTTGCCGGCGAGCCATACAAGGCTCGGGCCGGGGCACCGAAAAAATAGGTGCTGTGGAGGCTTCCTGCTTACAAGTATGGGATATGAGGGGTAGCGAAGATCATGTTTGGAAAACGATGGAAAAGTATACAGATATATGTATACATATATATATATATATGTATATATATATATATATATCTGTATACATATATACATGTGTATATATATATATATATCCAGAAACATACATATATACCTATATACGCATATACATATATACATATGTACTTATATACATGTACACATATACACATATACACATATACACATATACACATACACACATTTACACATTTACACATATGCACATATACACGTACATACATTCATACATACATACATACATACAGACAGACAGACATACAGACAGACAGACATACAGACATACAGACATGCATACAGATATACATATATACGTATATACATATACATATACATATACATATACATATACATGTACATGTACATATACATATACATATACATATACATATATACACACATATATACATATATACATATACATGTATCGCTCCTTAAAGGTTTGCCCGAGCAATCGCGAGCTGATGTTAAAGATCCAAGGCCCGGTGGCCTAAGAGGCTGCTCTCCTGAGGGACGGGCTCCAGCATCGGCTTCAAGGCAGGGTTGCGATGCAGGAGCTCTGCGTAGGAATCCATGCCTCCAGCTACAATGCACATCAGGGCTTAGAACTGAAGAGGCTGTTGAAGAGGGCTTGAGGTTCTAGGGTTGAGGATTGAAGTTTCAGGGTTTTGGGGGCTTGCCGGGGATTTGCGTGAGGGAGGCCCGCAGCTGCCGAAAAACTGAGGTGGGGGAAAGACCGGGCGAGGCGCAACGGTTTTGCTCTAGGGAACGAAGCTGCAAAGCCACCCGGCGACCCATCTGGCGACAAGAAGCATTCAAGGTTTGGAGGCGGGGCGTGGTGGGTGATGCCTCCATTCTGCAGACGACGGATCGTAAGACCCCTTCGACACAAAATGGGCAAAAGCGCGAGTGGAGTCTGCAGGCCTCGCTCGTAGGCCTTGCAGAGCGTGGACCACATGTTGGTCAGCTCCTTCCGCCGATACCTGGGCCACTCTCGTGTGCTACACGCTTGCGGCATACCAAGGTGGCTGAAGTTGCATCCTCACCCGGCAAATGCGGCCGAACCCAAATTTCTGTCTGAGTGCTTAACTTTGCTCAGCTCGTTGAAAATTGTACGTTGCTTCCGCAAGTGGTGAGAAATGGTCGGCATCGGATTGACGATCATGATCGGGTCCTTCAACGGCGAGATACCGTAGATCTTGCTTAGGTACCCTCTGCCTCCAAGATGACTCGAATACGAGTGGCACGGAAGCTGTGTTGTGTATACTGTATACTGTATACCTATATACAGAGTCTGGCTCCGGCACGCCCAAAATTCAACGACACGGAACCGACAAGCACTCGTAATTGTCTGGTTTCCTAGGTGGGACTACGCGGAAAATTGGCGTAGGCGCATGCTATGTCGCTGATTGGACTCACTGCTGCACGGAGCGATTGCCCGCACTGCTCATGGGGGTGCCATCCACCAGATAGCCCACGTCCTGCGCATAGACGGAGGCAGGAAGTGGAGAACCGGGTGTGTGAGGGTCTGGCTGCATGGTCTCCGGGTGGTTGATGGCGTTGCCGGCCTTGTTCAGTGGCGTGCCGTCCGGCAAGTAGCCGACATCGTTCACGAAGATGGCGGAAGGCAAGGGAGATCCCGGAGCATGGCTGTCCGGCTGAATGTTCTCCGGGTGGTTGATCGCGTTCCCGGCCTTGTTCATGGGCGTGCCATCCGGCAGGTAGCCGATGTCGTTGCTGAACTCCAGGTCGGCCCAGGAGTCCTTCTGAAAGGAGTAGGCGAAGTTCCCGGCGTGCCTGACCTTCGAGGGGGTCGCTGCCGAGGAGCCGACGAAAGCCGCCGCGACGAGAGGTTCAGGGGCCGGTGTCGGGGCAGGCGCAGGCGTGGGTGTCGGGCTCGAGCTGACGAATGCTGCCGCTGCCAACTGGGGTGATTTCACAGAATTGTTGCCAGCTGTTTCGAGTGGCGTCCCATCGACCAGGTACCCAATGTCTGCAGCATAGACGGAGGCCGGCAGTGGGGATCCTGGTGTGTGGCGATCAGGCTGCATGGTCTCTGGATGATTGATGGCATTTCCCGCTGCATTCAGCGGGGTGCCGTCCGGCAAGTATCCGATGGAGTTCACAAACTCAGCCCTGGGCAGAGGCGAACCCGGAGTGTGCCTGTCCGGCTGCATGTTCTCCGGATGGTTGATCGCATTCCCTGCCCTGTTCATCGGAGTACCATCCGGCAAGTAGCCCACATCATTGCTGAACTCCAGGTCAGCATACACGTCCTTCTGGAAGCTGTAGTCAAACTTGCGCCCATGCAAGCGAGCACTTGTATTAACTGGTGATTCTGCAAATGGCGATGCGGCTGCCGGGGAACTTGCTGCTGCCATCGGGGGGGGTGACACCGGCGCTGATGGACTTGGAACAGGAGGAGGGGAAGGTACACTGCCAGTCTGAGGAGGGGAAGGTACACCGCCACCCCTGACAGAGTTATTGCCAGCTGTTTCGAGTGGCGTCCCATCGACCAGGTACCCAATGTCTGCAGCATAGACGGAGGCCGGCAGTGGGGATCCTGGTGTGTGGCGATCAGGCTGCATGGTCTCTGGATGATTGATGGCATTTCCCGCTGCATTCAGCGGGGTGCCGTCCGGCAAGTATCCGACGGAGTTCACAAACTCAGCCCTGGGCAGAGGCGAACCCGGAGTGTGCCTGTCCGGCTGCATGTTCTCCGGATGGTTGATCGCATTCCCTGCCCTGTTCATCGGAGTACCATCCGGCAAGTAGCCCACATCATTGCTGAACTCCAGGTCAGCATACACGTCCTTCTGGAAGCTGTAGTCAAACTTGCGCCCATGCAAGCCACCACGTGAAACTGCAGCATGACTTGTGGCTGCCATCGGAGCGGCAGAAGTCACAACTGATCCAGCTGCGGCTGCAGGTGCTGCAGAGGGTGGCGGAGCCGCCGCTGCAGGAGCTGACGCGGGCACGGCGCCACCCCTCACGGAGTTGTTGCCGGCCGTCTCCATGGGAGTGCCGTCCACCAGGTAGCCGATGTCAGCTGCATACGCGGACGCGGGCAAAGGAGAACCGGGCGTGTGAGAGTCCGGCTGCATGGTCTCCGGGTGGTTGATGGCATTGCCGGCTGCATTCAGAGGAGTGCCATCGGGCAGATAACCCACGGAGTTCACGAAGTGAGCGCGTGGCAGAGGGGAGCCGGGAGCGTGCCTGTCAGGGCCGATGGTCTCCGGGTGGTTGATGGCGTTGCCTGCCCGGTTCATGGGAGTGCCATCAGGCAGGTAGCCGACGTCGTTGGTGAACTCGAGGTCGGCATAGACTTTTTTCTGCAACTCGTACGGAGTGACCGCCCGGGCGACCTGGACCGTGCGCTCTGGGACACTGCAGCCAACGAAAGCAGCGGCAGATGCCTTCTTGGCCCAGTCGAAGCTGGCCGCCTGCACCGAGGACTCGCCCGTGTAGCCCAGCTTCTCCTTCCATCCCGGGTAGATCTGGTCGGCGTCCTTCTGGAAGGTCAGGAAAGCACCCTTGATCTCCTCGTGCGTCTTTGCGAACTCAATGACGCCGTCACTCAAGCTGATGTTGCCGTACTGGCCTGCCTTCCAGGCCTTCCAGGCCTCCTCTCCCTGGCGGCACGAGACGGCGCCGGGCTTGGGGCCATCCTTGTGTCCGAAAGAGCCGCCACCGGCGGTGAGGATCACGTTGGAGTGGCCCAAGTTCTCGAAGAAGGCCGGCAAGCGGAGTGCGTTCATGCCGCCAGAGATGATGGGGGTCGTCTGCTTCATGCCTTCCCACGGCTGGTGATAGTACGGGCCATCGGCCGCATCATCCTGTAGCATGAAGGCAATGTTTTTGTCGGAGGCATCGCCCTCCATCTTGCCGAAGCTCATGGTGCCGGTGTGGATGCCGGACGCACCGATGACTCGGGAGATCTTGGTGTGCACGAAGGCGGTGTAACCGCGCTGGGTTTGGGGGCTGGTCACGGATCCATGGCCCGCACGGTGGTAGTGCAGGAACTGTCCTGGGAAGTTGCGGCGGGCGCAGGTCACGGCCGTGCCTCCCGCAACGTAGCCATCCACCAAGAACGCGCAGTTCTCGGACAAAGGACCGAACTGGGACAGACAGTACTTGCCGCGGGCGATCATCTCGTTGGGATCATCCGCCGTGATGTTGGCAGAGAAGAGCTTGCCCACCCCGGTCTCCTTGATGCAGGCCCTCATGGCCTTCACAACCTCTGGGATGACCTCGTTCATCTGGCAGAACACCTGGTTGCCCTGGGGCTCATCGTTCTTGATGAAGTCGCCACCCTGCCAGAATGCGTAGCAGGCCTCGCCGAATGGCTTGGGTTGCAGGCCGAGTTTGGGCTTGATGATGGTGCCCACCACGAGGCCTCCGTTGCTGGTGCCCTTGCCCAGGATGCGCCACATGTCTTCCACGTTCACGGCCGGGCCGTCGTACAGGCGGAGGAACTCAGGCGGCAAGTAGAAGTCGTAGATCTTGCCGTACTCGACGTCGCCCATGCCTCATCTCAAGCTACTGCAAACACACAGCACAAATCTCAACAGAAAGTCTACGATTTCAAACGGCATCCTAAACCGAGCGCCAAGCCCTGGTTGTTGCCGATGGACAGGGTCAGGAAGGAGCACATCATGGCGCGCCCATCGGTGATGTTGCGGTCGAACAACAGATTTGGGTAGGCGATCTTCATCTCCTCGCTGTCGGGGTCGATGTAGTACACCAGAGCATCCACGGACTTGGTAAAGTCGTCCGTGGTGCAGACGTTCACGTTGGTGCCTGTGGAGGACTCGGCGGCAAAGTGTGCCGCGGTGGCCAGGTAGTCGTATCCTGCCTTCGGCTTCATGATGTACGCCACCAACACGTGCTTACCATTCCTGAGATTGCACCAACAACTACGACCCACACCACTACCATGTTGCCACCTACAAGCAAAGATTCCTTTCACACGAAGAGTGGAAGAAATGGAAGAAGTGATCAGTAGTGCTTCATTGCAGCAAAGCTTCTTGATGAGCGTGGCCTCATCCAGCGACAGGTCGGCGTAACGGCTGGACTGGTCCAGGGCCTTGCGGGCCGTGGCCGATTTCCTCACTGGCACGGTGGTTGGGAGGGGCGTGCTGCCATGCGAGCGGCTGGTGCGTCCAGAGGCAGTGGCGGTGGCCGCAGCAAGCATGCCACCGCACGCCACTGCCGGGAGAGAGCTGGAGGGGAAGCAGGACGAAGGTGCCACTGGTGGCGCCTGGGTGGACTGCGCAGCTCGCTGCTGGCGCAGGTTCGTGGTAACCGGCTCGGCTGCGAACGCCTGGTTTCCAGACTTCAGATACAGCAGGCCGCCAGCCAGGCCACCCAATGTCATGGCCGCACAAGTGCGCTGGGCCATGGCTGAAAAGTGTAAATTCAAAATACGTGCGAGGCTGTCTTTGCTCGCACAAGCAGGCCACCAAGAGACAAAGCTGCAACACATCTTTCTGCAGCGATAAGGCCGCATGATTGCGCATGCTTCAAACTGTCTTACACCTAAAGGCAGACCAAGCAAAGAGCAAAGCACATGCAAAAAGCACAGGCCGAGCCGGGCGCAGGTTGTACATGTAGAGAGCAAAGAGGTCTGCGCAAGCACGATGATCCGCCTCCGAGCGCCATGAGAACTCTGCAGACGGACAACACATTTTGGAGAGCAACATCTGAGCAACCTCTATGACTGTGAAGGATTCTGCTGTGTTTTCCATACTGTGCTTTGGGTGAAGGAAGTACTTTGTCCTGAGGTCTACCCCTGAGCACTCCATAGGGCCCCGGGCCGTAGGTAGAGGCCATGCGCGGTTCCGCACTTCCTGCGTTGCCTGAGGTGACGCGGGAGTTGGGGAAGGTGGGGGTGCAGTGGGCTTGGGTTTCGAAGCTACCAGCTGGCCGAGATGTAAATCTCATTACCCAAGCTGTCACCGATATTACTGTGAGTGCCGCTCAGCTTGCATGTACCAGCATGTGCCTGATGTAGCCCGTTATGTGGGGTTCATCTCAGTGAACGAAGCTTCATTCAGAAAACCGAAAAAAAAAGGAAACCCGCACAACTGCGTCCTCTAGACCTTCCATGCGATGTTCCTGCGTTAGGAGAGGCGGAGGCCGGTCAGCGCTATCCCTGCGATTCATGCTGACTTCCAGCTGACAGTCAAAGGAAGCTGCGGCCCTGGCACCTGACCACCAAACAAAGCCAGATGTGCCGAAAACCCCAAGCCGGTGCGCCCGAGAGCCAGGCCATCATCGAGCCCTTGGTCGAGCCTGCGGTTCCGATGGGGTCGCCTTTTCTTCACAACATCCCTTGTCAAAGGTACCAAATGTACCTATACAGGGGTTCTTGTTTCGAACAACCTCGAGATCATGATCCTACTGGTCGCTAAACAGCTTGAACTTCAAAAAGTTTGAAGCTAAGAAATATAGATGCCCAAAAAGTGTGGAAGCTCAACTGTTGACCAGGGAGCTGTGAGCTGTGACCCGGAGAACACAAAAAATCACCACGACCCACAGCAGAATCTGACGAAGGTCTAGGGCCGCAGCTATCAGATTCCCACGTTGCGCAGCTGCAACTGAACCCTGTCACAAGGATTCTAGGGGCACAGCCCATCGTGGAGTTCATGGTATTCCGCATGGGCGAAGCCGTCGGCGACCTGAGGCGCCGCGAATCACGATGCGGGCATTTAAAGCGTTCTCAGGCGGCCGCAACCTAGGAGTTTAGCGTTCAGAGAGCTTGGAGAGTTTGGAGGTTGGTGTGGCTCGCGTGGCGAATCTGGCGGCTCGGCGCAGACTGCTTCGCCGCAGCATTTCCTTCGCCACCCAAGTACCTCAACAAAAAGATTGAGGGCCGTGTTAAAGAGGGACTCCCTCACGAGGGGGTCCTCGGACCAGGGTTTGAGGGCAACTTCTCCACATCTTTTCGCAGAACCTTGTGACCCTGTGACACGTAACTCCTCAGCCGGGATGCTTGGAGACTGTCGGCTGGAAGTCGCTGATTGTCTGATTGAGGTTCGAGGCATCGGCCTTGTTGCTCGCCTGCCCAGGCAGGTTGGATTGCACACATTGGGTTGGTAACTGTCATGTACTTCTGATATCCAAACCACAAAAAACAACATGGATGGAGGTTTGCAGGGTCCCTAACCCGCCTAACCCCCGCACCCACAAAGGCCCCGCGCACCATGCCCGTTTTGTCCATCTTCGACTTCTTCTTCCTTACAGGGAAGACAGAGGAACCCAGCAGTTCGGCTTCCCACTCAGCATGGGCTGATGTGCCAGTGGCTTCCCATTCCCAATCACCTCGACTGAACTGAAACCCAAGCCCTCCTACTGCCCTCCAACTGCCGGCGCGCTGCTTCTTGTCTTTGTCCGAGGCAAGCTCCACCGTCTCGCCCTCCTGGAGTTGAAGTCTACACTGAGGCTACACTGAGCCTACACTGAGCCTGCACATGTCTACACCTATCCATGGGTTACTTGCACTTTTGGGTGTCGATTCCCATGCGGAAGGTGCTTCTGCAGACTATGGTGCCCCAGCGCTCCAGCTGCGGATGCAGCTCAGGCCAGGCGACGGCCTAGCCGTTCGGGCAAGCAGCCTGAAACCTGCCACCTGCAACCCTGACTTCAATTCACTCAACCCTTTGTTTTGGCCATGCAAAATTACCTCAAGCAAGTCTGAACCCTCTGGGCGCCCAAAAAGAAAACCCTTCATCCCTAAGACCGGTCTCCAAAGCTCCGGGGAATCAGCCCCCCAAAGCCCTCCCTGCCGGCCTTGCAGTAAGCAGCAACCTTACGCCCAAGCACGGAGGGTCTTCTGTAGGCTTTTGTGTAGGCTTTTGGCTCTTCGTGCGGCAACAACGTACACGAGCCTTTGAGGATGCCCAACGGTCCCCTAGAACAACAAAAACCAACGCTGCAACAATGACAAAAACAGAAGGAAGCAATCCCAAGCCCCAAACACAAGCAAGGGCTCCTAACGATTCCTAACGATTCCTAACACCCCAACACCCCAAATCCCCCAACCTAAAGCTCCAAAGCCCCAACCCCGACTGGCACCAAACCAGCTTGGGGCCCAAACCGCCCGGGCTTTGGCGAAATACCTTGCCCGGAACACGTAGCCGCGGAAGGTCGCTTGTGCCTGCGACATTGGGTTGCCCGGAGAGCCAAGCCACCAAAACCCTGATTCCCCCCCCCTCCCCCAACAAAAAAACATGTGTTAACTTTCCCGAGCCCTAAATCCTAAACCCTAATCCACCCTAGCCCTCCCTTGCCAAAATCAGAGCCCCGGGCCTTGATAATGGATCCTAAGACGCCTCGGGGCAACGCGTTGACCAGCTCCTGTAGAGGAAGTTCGTTTGGAAACGTTCGCTTGGCTTCCGTGGAGAGCAGCCCTAAGCTCTGATCCTTGAGCCTCGTTGAAGAACACAGCAATCTCAGGCTTCTTGCAAAGCGCATGAACCCGGACCCTAGCCCCTCCTCGCAATCTTTCGAGGCTCGGTCGTAGGACGATGCCACGCGGTCGAAAACGGCCGTCCGTGACGTAGTGGAGTCCGGCTCCTGAAGAAGTAGTTCGAGGGTTAGGGCAGGGGGTGGGGGGGCCTCAAGGCTTCAAGATTTTTTTGCGCTTGATTCGGGGGCTCCAGCTTTACCTTCGGCAATGTGAATGATAGAGACTATGTCCTTCCGCATGGCAGTGCAAACTGCGTCTGGTCCCAACAGCTACGTCGCAGCCTTTCCTGAAGCGCTTCGCCGAAACCGTTATACCCTTTACCCTTTCGGTTTCTGGCCTTATCAACCTTAACTTCAAACGCACCCCAAAATCCATCTAAGCTCTAAACCCGGGCCCACCCCCCAAGAAAACCCCCTAGGGTGTCTCCGGCAGCTGCGGGGCGGGTAGGCGACCCAGGGCTGCGTGCGACTCGGCGATGCGCGCAATGCCTGCGCCAGTCTGCTCAGAAATATAGGACATAAGAATACATATCTATGTATATGTATATGTATATGTATATGTATATGTATATGTATACGTATACGTATATGTACATGTACATGTACATGTACATGTACATGTATATGTATAATATGTAATATGTACATATATACATATATCATCCATATAGAACATGTGTATACTGTATACACTTCTATGTAGAGAGAGAG